CACACACACACACACACACACACACACACACACACACACACGCACAGACGCACACGCAAAATAATTACAATGATCTCTCTCTCTCTCTCTCTCTCTCTCTCTCTCTCTCTCTTACACACACACACACACACACGCACAGACGCACACGCAAAATAATTACAATGAACAGAAAGAAATACACACCCGACACCGTTCAGTTCTCACAAATAATGAACCACCTAGAAACAGACACATAAGAGGCTGATGCCTTTCGCTGGACCTCCCATTCGACCTGGGTTCATGTCAATTGTCTGATCCACTTCAGCTGGATGAAGCGATCACCGATCATGAGCGAAAATTTTGCAGACATTGGAACCGATGGCATGCAGAATAGCTCTTGACATTTGCAGTATGTCCAGGCGTCTTTCCGTGTCCGATCAAGTTTCCCCCTGGCAGGTCGTAGTCCTCTCGTTCTCCTCTCTGCCTGTGGGTTTATCGTTTCTCTGCGTCGTACGTCCCCTCTCTCTCCCGCCGCTTCGTTCTTTCTCCCCTCCTCTCCCTTCTGCAGCGCGTGATACGTGTGAGCTCCCTGGGTTTCCTATCCCTCCTGTTTGCCAACCTGTGCCTGCTCGTCTTTGTCTTTGTCTTGTCTATATTCCTCCCGCCCTTGCCTTTTTCTCTGTCTCTCGCCTACGCCGACCTCTCCGCGCCAAGCAACTGCTCTTCCCAGTATGTTGGCTGGACCTTTTTCTCGGAATCTGACTGGCCTTTCCCCCGAGATGGCAGGAATACTCCTCCGCTGGAATAGTTTGCGGCAAGGCGAGAAAGGGAGCTGATGCAACTGCGCGGGAAAGAGCCGATGGAACTGGCGGGAAAGATCTATGGCATTGCGTTCTCCTCTGCCTGTACTTAGTCATTATTTTGTCTTGATGCACTTATTGCTACCCAGAAAAACAAAAGACAAAAAGCAATCCGACATCACGTAGCCTACAACCTCGCTCCTTCCCGAGAGCGGCACTCAATTGCGTTGAACATCTGCCAACCGAAGGCAGCTACACAGCCACAGGCCCGAACGAGGGAGAGGGCGCGCACACACGCACACAGAGTGTGCGTCAGAGGAGAGAAACCAACCAACCCACCGCAAATCTGTACACAGGTCCGTCGGGCGGAAGCGATGGCCACGATAACGGCCGTTGCGAAAAAGATGACGATGATCACGGCCGTTGAGTAATACTAGTAATCACTCACAAGCCGTTGAGTGGCAATAATTCCCGCCGCGCCGCGCCACACCAAGTTGCCGCGCTATAACCATAATCTAGCTATTGCAAAATTACCCTCGGAGTAGTGTGCCGCGAGTCGGCCGGCTGAGGAATCCCGATCTACTGGCCCCTATAGCCGTCGAGTGGAGATCGGACGACGAGGAGCTCGTTTCAAAAAGAGGAGGAGGAAGAGAAAAGCTCGGTGAAGGAAGCGCTGACGATGATAAATGAGCAAAAGAAAGGGGGGAGGCGAAAGATAGAAGGGGAAAGTGAGTGAAGCCGACTGCTGGCTATGGCGGGAGAGAGTGGATAGGGGAGCTCTCGGGAAAAGGGAAGAAGTAGAGAAACCGCAATCAGCAGCGGTGATGATGGAGAGGGGCACAGCTGAGGAGAGAGGAGAAAGGAAGAGACAGGGAGAAGCGAGCCATGGAGGAGAAGAGAAGCAGGAAGAAGGCGCGGAGGAGGACGAAGAGATGGAAAAGCCGGGGGCCGAAGATCGACCCAGAAAAAAACAAGGAACAGAGATGCCGGGCCGCAGCTCGATGGCGATGGCAGGGCGTCGGCGAGGCAAGCCGTCGGGGTGGCTGAGGCGACAGGGAGAGAGACGAGAAGGACGACGCAGACCAAGGTGAAAATGCCAACGCCAATCGAAGCTCGCTCCAACAAGTTCCTTGGCACGTCGGGGGGCACGACGCCAACAGGAAACTGGAGCACGGCTGATCGGAAGACCGGGGCCGGGACAGAGACTGGGGCCGCGGTGGTCGTCTTTGAGGCCGTTCTTGCAAAAAAATTGAAAATTTGATCCGATCCGATCCGATCGCTCGAGGCACCTCACCAAGCTCGAGCTCTCACAAAGCTGGCGGCATGCTGCCAAGGGGCCTCGCAGCACTTCTCACCGTCCGAATGTGCAACATGGTGAACGTATCTTCCGCTAAATCGTGGTCAGATACGCGCGCCATAGCTGTTGTCTTTTTCGTATTTGTTTAGTGTGCTATCATGCTATGCCGCCAATATCAGAAATTGGGGCACATATACCGCCAATATCAGAAATCGGGGCCCTTGCCGCCAATATCAGAAAGAAATTGGGGCCATGCCGCCAATATCCCAAGTTGGGGGGACAAGCCGCGGACGCTGACACAGAAGCAGGGGTCTGGGTTCTCAAACTACGAATTATTGGGCCCTCGCCGCACCACTCAGAATCAGAAACTGCTCTGAGAACTATGGCGGGTGCATCTTTGCACGTTGTGGAGGAAGAGACGTCGTCCATTTTTTTGCACATTTGCTGACTGAGGCGAGGGTCTTGGTCCCGCCAGGACCGGGCGGGGTTCGCTGGCAAGCCGCCCTCGAACCCGGGCTCCGCGGTTCGTCAGCCCGCCCATCTTGCAGATTCTGTACAGATTCGACTTTGGACCCTGAGATCGTGCAGTGGAAATGTTTTGAAAAAGAAATGTTGAAAAAGAAATGTTGAAAAAGAAATGTCGAAAAAGAGTTAGATTAATTCTAAAATATTTTTGAATTACAAAATTTTGAAAAAGAATGAATTAAATTTGYTTTCAAATTTBGAAGAADAAATGCCGAGAAAGAAATGATTAAATCCTATGTATTTCGAAAATTTCGAAAAAGAAAACACATTTGAGAAAGAAATGAGTATTTTCGAATGTACAAAAAAAAAAGAATATAAAATGGATTCTAGAAATGAATAAAATGAATTTTGATGTAAAT